TGAAGGGAATATTGGGATCCCAGGCCTTTCCTCGTTCTCTTTGCCTCTCAGTTGCCATGGGATAAGCAGTTACCTTTGCCCCATGCTCCCACCATGATGTGCTATATCACTACAGATCCAAAAAGCAATAGAACCAACCAACCACAGACCAAAACCTCTGAAACTGTGAGCCAAAATAAGCCTTTCCTCCTTACAAGTTGATTATCTCAAGTTATTTTGTCACAGTGACGGAAAGCTGATCAACACACCATTCACTGATTAGTTTTGAAATGGGATGATTAATTTAGTGAATATTAATTTGGTATATTCCATGTTTAAGGCCCTGTACTCTGGGAAGACTCTGTATGGAACACAGACGAATTTTAAGTCCTGTCCCCAGGTGGTTTATGGACCATACAAATAATACAGAGAGTAAGAAGTCTTAGGAGAAACAAACAAATTGCTGTGGACAGACAGAGGAGGCAGAAACACATTCCTATGGAGGGAAGATGGAGGGGCTCCAGGCAGAGCTGGGGGTCTTTGAGGGTGTGCAGTATTGGGATCTTGAAAAGATTTGGGGACAGCGTTCCTGGAAAGAAGATAGCGTGAATAAAGGCATCGAGAGGAACAAAAAATAGGTGAGGCGTGCAAACGAGACAGAAAATCTGCACCTGGGTAGGGAACAGGGTCCCTGAAGGGAGCATGCCCAGGGCTGGTGCACAGAGCTCCAGAGGCAGCAGATTCTGGTAGAATTTGGGCTTCTTTGGGGGTGCCATAGAGAGCCCCTGAGTTTATGAGTAAAGAAATGACCTGCCTGGGGTGACATGGGGTGACATGGCAGGATCCAGTATAGAGGGGCATTTGATGGACAGGGAAGGTCTTTGGAGGAGAAAGTGATATAGTTTAGGGGATCAGAGAGGGTCCATATTGGGAGAGGGAACACAGGAATGGAGAGGAGGGGGGTATATATATCTAAGCAGAATCAATGACACTTGCCAACAACTTGATGATGGCAAGGGAAGAGCGACTGTAACTTCAGGATTCCAGGGATATGTTAAAAACCGCCAGAGTGAAAAACTAGGAGATAAGAGGGTGGGAAGGCATCTGACAAGTGCAGAACTGGGATAAACCACTTCCCTGGTGACCCTTTCAGGGCTTTGTTATGAAGGAAAGAAAGGAGCGAAGAGTCAGACTTTATTCCAAAATAGACTCTCGCCTTTTAGCAGCAATGCTAAAGCTCTTGTAGGGTAGAAAACGACACTAACACGCAACAGAAATGCCTAGATAGTAATGAAATTTAATTTACCCACAGTGGTGGTTAGCCACTGCCGCTGACAATCGCCACTCGGCGGCATTTTCTTTGAAGTCAGGTAGTTAGCACTCTCTAAACTAGAAATGGCCCACATTTTACCCATTACAATGTGGAGGATATTAAAACAGAGCCATATAACTCTAGTCTCCAGGGAGTTTTAGGACACTGAGGTTGGGATGAGACTTTCAGAGCTGCTCTAGAAATGCTGTGTCACCCTTCAGATGGAATTGCTTATTCCCCGGGAGCAGCTTAAACTCAAATACGCTGACGTCAGTACAATCGTGACAGCACTTACTAGTGCACAATGTACAGGCGTAGAGTGCATTTTGGGAAACGAGCTGTCTTTCAAGTTCAAGAAGCAGCTACAAGTCGACTGCTGTTGTTACCGTCTCTGTTTATGACATTCTTATCGGGTATGAGGGAAGAGCGCTAGATTTGTTCATCCGTTTTGTAACTATGTCACAGGCAGCCAGAAGCCTGGAAGGGGAGTGGGAAGCAAGTTATGCCGGGAAGAGTCTGAAGCTGTAGACCCCATGGTTATAAGGAAGCCTGGTTACAAGGATTCCCAGCCTCGCCCAAGCCAAGGCGCCCAAGTGGGAGTGGGTAGCACCCATGGTGGCACCCTGCTCCTTCCTCTCTTCTGTCAGGTGAGCCGACTTCAAGTTTTACTTTGGACCCAGAGTCTCCTACCCGCAAAGCTCTCACAGAACAACGCTTCTAAAACAGTTCCTACACCAGACTTTCTTCTGAGTGAAACAGAGGTAATTTGAATCTTCAGAAAAGAAAATTTAATTATGCTCTTCAGGACATGAAAGTACCATGTGGAAGACGGAGGCTGATGACTTTTTTTTCTTACTCCAGTGAAGTCAAAAGGGTCACGTTGAAAGAGAGGGTCGCAATCTGTACCAAGAGTCTCGGTGACTGCGAGAGCTGTTCACTGCCAGAGCTTTGCATGGGCATCGCAGAGCGAAGGTGGTGGAGGACGGGAAGATGGGGAGGAGGTGCTGACACCCTGCTCCTGGGGGTCAGCACCCTCGCAGATATCAGGCAGCAGTTCCTCCAGGAATCCAGTCCCTCATGACAAAGATGCCACATTAAAAAAAAAAAATCCTTATAAATGAAGGGGAGCAGATTGCAGGTGTGAAGGGTCAGTTACAAGCTCTGAAACACACACCGAAAAAACAGGCGAAAACTAGGCAGCAAGCAGTGTGGTCGGCTGTGTCCTGTTCCTCCCCTTGGTGCCCACTGCCCCTGCATCCAGCACCCTCTTTTTAGTCCCTTTATCTTACATGTAAGTGGGGAGTAATGCGACCCTGGACATTTATGCTTATTTATTGATGGATTACGTTATCATGTGACCAACTGAGCCCATGATTTTTTTTTTTTTTAAGTTTCCAATTAAGGAACTGAAGCCCATACCAATTGCTAGAGGAACCTCAAGCCTGGCCCAGCAGGCTGTGAGAACTGCCAGGGGTCAGAGAGCAGCTACGATCACATATTTTAGTTTTCTAAAAAAGAGGTAAAAGATGCAGGAGAGAAGAATGAGCTGCCTTCTTCTTTCTCCTGGGAGGACCGAGGCTCTGTTGTAAAGGAACCTTTGCTTTCAGCAGCACCTGGTTTGCAAAGAGCAGCGCTCAGTGAAAACGCTCCATCCCCAAATGACAAAGACTCTCCAGAGGGTGACAGCAGAGTCTTCAACCAAGTTGCAGACCCAGGGGCCCCAGGGCTTCGATGCTGTGCCTGGGCGCTCTTTCTCTTTGGTCCCCCTCCTCTGGCCACCCGATTCATCCTTCCCTAACCCTTCACGGCTTGAGAGATGCACGGCCCCAGCCATCTATGGGTCTTACACGAAAATCAACCCACATGTTTCAATCGCTGCTAGAACACCGGGTTCCCTCAGCCTTTTCGCCTTCCCTTCTCCTGGCTAGAATGGCGACATTTATCAAGACGCCCTCGTGCTCTTTAAATCCCACCTAACTGGGGTTTTATGCTTTCCTAGGCTGTCTCATGCTCTGGAACGTGTCTGCAGGTCTCCTCTAACGTTTTTCTACTAGACTAGAGCTCCTGACGCTAGAGTGGGCCTACTGAATACTCCTCTTTATCCGGAGCCTCCCCGCCTCTGCCTACCTCTCTTTACCTCATCTCCCCTTTAGTCACCCTGTTCCGGGATCACTTTCCCAAGAGGAAAGAGAAGTTTTGAAAAGAAATTTAGAATAATTTCATGACTTGCATAATACTCTGAATAGTGTTTTTGCCTGACTTTGCCCATATTTAGGTGAGAAAAATAGGTAAATAAGAAGTACTTGCTTCTTATTTCTTACAGTGGGACACAAACTTTATCCTAGTCTCAGATTTTTCTTGCTTGGTGTCCACTTTAGTTCCTCCCTGGCTGATAAGTTTTTTGTTATCTTGAGATTTTTTTTTTTTTTTAAATTTCTCCTTCTAATTCAGACTAAGTGGAATTGGAAGGATGTCATTAAGTGAGAAAAAAATTATAAAATACTTTAAGAGAAATTAAGGTCCATTGATCTCAAGATTAGGCAGAACCTCAAGCTAAGGTTGACCGAATGTTGCTTAGTTAATAGGGACCAGGAGTCAGTTAAGTGCTTTAATAAATAGATAAGGCTTATTTGTAATTAGCATATTGATTGTTTACATATAAACGAGCATTTCTAAAGTGCTCGAGGGGAGCTCAGAACAGCTTGTTAGGGGCTTTAAACACCCACCTCACAGATCAATTATTTCAGTACAAATAGACACTGTCTTCCAATCCTGTCTTTGCTGGAACCACTGAAAATTCCAAATAAGCATAGATAACTGATAAATCTTTATTAGTAGAAAATGTCCATCAAAGTCCCTCTTCTGACCCTCTGAAATTTCTCTGCAAACCTAGGGAAATGGATGCCTTTAGCAGTGGCCGCAGAACCTAAAAGACGGACGTGGAAGAGATGAGCCTTGTGTGAAGGTCTGTGTAGGAGGAAATGACTGCGAGGAAACTGAGATGGTGAGAAAGAAAGAGAAGAAGGAGGCTAGGAGGAAGGAAGGAGGGAGGAGATAAGGGAGGGAGGGAGGGAGGGAGGAAGGAGCAACACAGAGACGGACCTCCCCAGACATGGCTAAGACAGATGACAGAATGACCAGGGGACCCCCGGAGGGAGCAGTTTGTCCCTGGAGACCTCCTGGTTGGCTTTTTCTGCGCAGGCCCAGCCCATAGCACTGGGGAGCGTGAACCTCTTTGTCCTGTGAGATAAAGAGACTCAGTGCTCACTGCTTACTCTGTAGCTTGCTGCCAGGGACCAGCTACAACTCCCCAAACCCCAACAGGAGCAGGGAGTAGGGCTCTGGGAGGGGATACCTAGGGGCCAGGGTGGGACACAGCCCACACGGCACACACTCAGGAGCCTCCCTTCTGGAGCATGTGCATGGCCTTAAATGCTTCTGTTTCTTCGCTCAGGCCGAACCACTGAAGGGCCTTTCCCTGGGGTGCCCAGGGCCTTGAAGTGGAGAGAGCTGGAAGCGGCTGCGCTCACTGCTCGGGCCCAGTGCCAGCGACAGGGTGGAGTGTGTCACACGCCTTTGATGTTCTCAGTCAGGACAGCCTCTGCCTGCTGAATATTTATTTAATCCAATTTGGCCAATCAAACTTCAGGTCTAATGAGTGATTACAGTAACAGGCAAGCTCTTGACCCAGAGTGCCCTTCTACTTCCTGAGGTCAGCCGGGGCTTTGTTTGAAAACAAGCACAGCAGGGGGCAGAGAACCCTGAAAAAGGCCAGTGTGTGTGAGCATGTGTGTCTGAGTTTGTGAACACGTGAGTGTGTGAACATGCGGCTGTATGTGTGAATGTGTCAGGATGTAAATACACGTGCATGTGACTATGTGTGTGTGTGTGCGATTTGTGTGTGTGATGGCATGACTTGAGTGTGTGAGGTGTGCCCGAGTGTGGGCCTGGGTGCATGCGGCTGAGCGGGTGTGACCGTGAGGTCTGCTGAGGGTCACTCAGGAGGAGGAAATGAAGGACAGGAAGCCGGGAAGGAGAGGCTGGCAAAGAGGTGCCTCTTCCCTCAGCTGGAAATGCAGATGACGGTGGAGCAGGAGCAGCCAGGAACCAGGCTGCGCAGCGCTGATGTCATCCTCCATTAATCAGGAGGCAGATGCTCCCGCCCTTGTGCTCCACCATCTCCCAGGAAGAGGGTGAGAAGCTGACCCAGCCGGCTCTTGGGCTCTCCTGTTTCTACCTCCACTGAAAGAGGAACCACGTGGCTCCCTCCACCCCTGGCTTCAAAGCATGTGCAGCAGGGACCTCAGCTTCCTAGCGGGAGCAATCTCAAGGGGGTGGGGAGCCAAACCCACTGCATTCTTCCCCACTGCCAGGGGAATCTGGTGGGCTGCCCATGATGTTTTTTCTTAAAACCTCTTTGCCCTAACAACACTTTGTAAGAAGAGGGAACACAAGACACTCTGTCTGCTGGGAGAAAATAAACCCCAGGGCATACAGTGATTATCTGCTTGAATCTTGTGCCTGTTTTGTTTCAGCAAAGCCAGGTTTCCTGAGCATCCCGGCCCCATCTACAGCATGGGCACTTCCACAAGAGTGTGACCCTGTTTAGCTTAAGATCTCTGTTTTGCCAGCTGCGGAAGTCCTGCACCACCACATACTGCTGCCCACTGCCACTCCATCAGAAGGTATTGATCATCCGTGTACTGCTGTCCTGGGCTGCCCACCACCCCTTTCCCCTTCTGCAGCAGGACACACAGCGCAGCAGACTTCTCAGGGAACTCAGCCTTCCAGGCAGATGCAGTTACATGGCAACCATAGACACCTTTTTTTGGGGGACCGATATTCTATTAATCTTTACAAGTGTATTAGTTCCGACTTGCAGCAATCCATCAGCTGTAAGTGCAATAAATGATGCTTGGAAATGAATACCCACATTTCAACAGAGATGGTTTTACATATTAAATTATCTTTAAAGTTATAAATAAATAACCTATGTGAAATAGATTTAAGCAATAAACATACATTCGGCAAACAATACTAAGTTTAAAATTCAGCAAGCTAGAGGTATTTTGGCAATATCTTGTTAATAGGCCCTTCAGTGCCTGATCTGCTTCTCTTCCTTGGTAAAATCATAAATCCATCATATCAAATATGGTTGCTCCTCTCTTAGAAAAAGTAGTGCTTTCTCTCTCAAATACTTATTCTTAATGCTTCAGTTTTCCTAGGTTGTGGCTGAGGATCTTTTTTTTTTTTAAATTTTATTTCTATGCTTTCTAGTACTTATTTTTTCTCCAGCTTTCGTGAAGTATTTTTGACCAATAAAAACTGTACATGTTGAGGTGTACAGCATGCTATTTTGATAAATGTATAACATTGAAAATGACAACCACAATCAAGCTAATGAACACAGCCATGACCTCACATAGTTACCACTTTTTGGTGTGCGTAGTGGGAACTGTTAAGATCTACCCTCTTAGCAATTTTCAAGTATACAATTCAGTATTATTGGTTACAGTTACCAGGTCCTCTGTTAGACCTCCAGGATTAATGTATCCTGTAAAACTGAAATTTTACCCTTTGGCCAACATTGCCACATTTTTTTCCTGCTCCCAGGCCCTTTCAACCACCAGTCTACTCTTTGCTTCTATGGGTTCAAGTTTTTTCGATGCCTCATATAAATGAGATCATGCAGCATCTGTTTTTCTGTGCCTGACTTAACGTCACTTAGCATAATATCCTCCAGGTTCACCCAAATCTTTGCAAATATTAAAAACCTTCATTTTAAAAACTTCTGTATAATATTTCTCTCTCTCTCTCTCTGTATGCATACCATATTTTTAAATCCATTTGTCGATGGACACTTCAATTGATTCCATTTCTTGGCTATTGTGAAATAGTGCTGCCGCAAACATGGGCGTGCAGATGTCTCTCTGAGATACTGACTTCATATCCTTTGGATATATACCCAGAAAGGGAATTGCCGGATCATATGGTAGTTCTATTTTTAATGTTTTGAGGACCCTCCATCCTGTTTTCCATAATGGCTGTACTAATTTACATTCCCACCAATGTTGTTTTAAAATAATAATTAAGAGATTTTCTATGGTATCTTCATTTGATCTTGCTTCTTCCTCTCTCCCACCTCTGCCCCACAAAGTCCCTTGAATAGCTTTGAAAAAGTGATTCCCTTAAAGGAAGTATTGTTTAAATCACATCTTCAGTAGATGTTTTCAAGGACCAACACCATTAGCAATTCTTGCTTGTGGGAGCTCACAGTCTGGCTTTAGGAGCCAAGAGTTTCTGTTTTTGTTGTGTTGTGATATGAATGCAAGGGGGAGTCAAATTTCAAACAACTGTATCACATTATCATCCAAAAATAAGTAAAAAAAAAATAGCTGTTTATTTTTGGTTTTGTTTTTTCAAATGGAGAACAAGAAAGAAAGAGCCTGCAGTGCTGTTTGCTAACTTGTTTTTTCTCAATAGCTAAATTCTCTAAAAGAGACATGCAAATGAAAAGTTTTATAGCCATGTTCTTTTTTTCAGTAATGAATTAAGTCTGTGTAATTTCATCAGATTTTTCCCCTCGTGGAAATGCAATTATTGCACTCTTGTTTCCTACAACTAAACCCTTTTTTCATGATTAACCTCACTCGTGGATTTAATGTACAACAAAATGCCACAAGATTCATGCCGGTGACAATTTAAAGTGAATTAAGGGTTAATGACACGGGTGTGGTCTGGTCTAGTCTGATTATACATAAATAACATACGTGAGATAGATTCAAGCAATCAACATAGACTCGGGTCCCGTGATCTACCGAGGGGCATTTTGTTACTTAACCTCAAAGGCGACAAAGCTGGAACCCCACTTTTTGCCAGCCACTCCTCCGGTGCCTTTGGTCCTTTTCTAACATCTCTTCTTCCTACGCCTCTCTGCACACAGACCTGCTTTCGGCTTGTGAATGTAGGAAAACTGTATCCATAAATTACATCACACCTTGCTGCCAGCATTGCAATTTCTCCAGACTTCAAAACTTCACAAACCAGACAGATCAAGATGCAAAGAGTTGCATTCGGTGTCCCTGCTGGATTCTGAGGCTGCAGAGACAAGCACTGATTTAGTGTCTGTCTGCCAGGTGGACGAACAGCTCTGATAACACCCGACCGGAGCTCCCGGTTCGCCTGTCTCCCATGCCAGCACTGACATCCCTACCAAATCTGGTCGTTGGGGGTTGTCGGGTGGAGCTCCCTAGGCTGAGAGATTTCAAAATACAGGCATATTCCGAAATGGTAATAGCAAAAATTTGGAACTGCACTTGGTTTGGGGGAGATACTAAATTCCACAGATGGGGATGGTGCAGGAATGGGCATTTAGTAGATTGCAAGTGACAGAAACCTCGTGACCTACTAGCACCAACTCCTTCCGTTTTCAGAAAAGAACCCTACAAGGTAGTCATGCAGTGATTTGCTCAAGATCACAATGCCCATCTGAAGCAAGCTAGGGCCTGAACCAGGGTCCACTATTAGTTAGTAAAGGTTCTTACAAAGATAATTCCAGCCAACTTCAGATCAAATGATCACAAAATATAATGATGTTCTAATACACAGGCCCATATTGCATTAGAACAGGACACACTGTTAACAGTCATGACATCATGGCACGATTTCATTTTGCCTCCAGGGTTACACAAGGATGGAGTTAAAATTCTAAATTAGAATGAGAATGGATACTTGGAGTCAACAGAAGCCATCTTTTCTCTGAAAGGTAATTTCAATACATGTAGTCTATGTATTGTAATTAAAATAATTATTTTGATTTTATCAGCCAGTGGTGTTCACAGAACCTACCCAGTGCACAAACACCTCTAGATAGACATAAACCCACCAAATATATGATGCAGGATACCAAATATATGTGTCCTTCCCAGACACAATTCCGCTAATAACTCCCCCCTCCCTTCATGTGCATGGAGGCTGAGACAGACGGGGCCAGCAGTCATTCCTCCCCTCTCCACGCACCATGAGGACTGGCTGTCCACTGAAGTCTGCCTGCAAATGGCATCACCTGAGGAACACCCATAGCCCATCCCTGTTTCTTCACATGTCTCTTTTGTCCCTGGTGCCACCTCTTCAGTGTGTGTGTTCCTTTCTCCCTGCCACTGACCTGCCTGAAGTTCCCTCACCTCTTTTTTCTTTTCTTTTTTTTGGTACCAGGGATTGAACCCAGAGGCATTTAACCACTGAGTACATCTCCAGTCCTTTTGATTTTTTTATTTAAAGACAGGGTCTTGCAAAGTTGCTGAGGATCTTGATAAGTTGCCCATGTTGGCCTTGAACTCCTGATCCTCCTGCCTTAGCCTCCTGAGTCTCTGGGATTACAGGCTTGTACCATCACATGCTGCTCCCCTCTCTCTTGTATAAACTGTTTTTCAAAAGCATTTCTCTTTATCCTTGACAAAGATATCGGAATTAGCATCTTCACACACACCTCTAGACATCGTTAAGTCCCTCGGGAAACTTCTGTGGCTCTCCATGGCTGAGTAAAGTTCAAATTTCTTTTCACCATGTTTCAATTTCTCTATAAGATGGGTCAGTCTGGTTGATCACGTCCAGCCCAATCCTCAGGACGCTCCCACCTTGTACCTTTGTGCTGACCTTTGTGCCCAGATGGATGCCCTTTTCACGCACTACCATCTTCCTCCCCAGCCCCCTCATCCCTGGTCAAAACTCTCTCTATTCTTCAAAGTCCAACTGCAAAGCCACACCCTCAACTGTGCTTCCCCAAACCCCTGAGTTCAAGTTTACTCTCTTGTGCCCTGTCCTTCTACAGTGCCTTGTTAAGACCTCCAGTGAGAGCACCTAATACCTTGTTTTATCTGTTTTTTCTCCATTAAACTATAAATGCCTGAGGGGTAGGAGAGCTCCTGCATCTCTGGACAAGTCACTGGCACACTGCTCTGTGTGTAATCTTAGTAAACACTTGCTGGAATGAATCTTGTACGCTCTACATGCAGGTTAGCGCTCTCATTGCCCAGCCTGCCATAGCTCTGCATTGTCTGGAATTGGGTTTCTCATGCATTCTTACAATCCCCTTTCTCACCCCTCCACCCCTAATGCTGCTGTGATTGCTGCATTTAAGTTGACAGGAACAGCCTTCACTTGTATCGGGGCAGCTCATTTTCTCCACATTTGGCCTACCCAATCCATGTCATATCCGTGCACCTTCTAAAGATTTGCTAAGGCCCTTCTAGTAAGGAGCGGTTAGAATCTGGACTCACCCACTTCCCTGCTATGTGACTTTGTGCCAGGGGCTTAACTGCTCTCAGTCTTGGTTTCCTCACCTGTAGAATGGGATAATGATTCCCTGGTGCTGTGAGGATTACGGTGGCAGTCATATCTGACCTAAAGTAGGCATTCCGTAACATACACCAGTGTGTGGTGTATGTTAGACCAGGTCAAGGTGAGTGATCTGTAAGGGAGGCAAACTGGGAAACCTCTTAGCTGCTTCACCAATGAGTCCTTAGACCCATCTCCAAGGTTGGTTTCTCCCCGCACACTGGTTTCCTGAGTTCCTTCACACGGGGGCCACTACTTCCCCCTCTTCTCAATGGGCACACATCCCCCTTCACTTTAGGAGCCCGGCACCACTCAGATTCTATTTTGCCATGTTCCAGCAGGCAGAGATAACTCCAGGGAGTTGCTGTTCATTGAGATTTACTTGCATAACTGAGGAGTTTTGCTAAATTCACAGACTTTGTTACTAATGATATTGTCTTATAAGCTACGATAAATATAGACCACGCTTGATGCTGATGAATGGGTTGGATCTCACAATTGTGTTCGTTCATTTCACAATCATAAATTAAAATGTTCTCTCCTCCTACTATGTCGATTTGATCTACGTTTCATTATGGCAACATCATATTCTCTTAGTTTTCATAAAAACATGCTGGCTTTTTAATTTTGTTTTCTGCCTCTAGATGTAGCTGTATATGATTGGCAAC